CCTAGGGGACTGTGTTGGAGGCGAGGTGCTTTATGACTAGATGAGCGGCTGCGCAGGGCAGGAGCTTGCCCAGTGACAGTGGGCCCTGGTCTCCAGGGTGAGAAATGTGCTGGCCGCTTTCACTCTGCCCCTCGCCCACATTGAAGAGGAACGGTGAGCACTTCTGTTAGGGACCTGCCATGTCCAGAGGCCTTCAGGATGCCTCAGTAGGCCGGGATCCTCAGATGGTTTGCACACGTCATAGAGGAAGCCACCAAGCGTGGAGACCTAGGCCTCCCAGGGCACCCTCTGGACGGGGCAGCTTGCAGCGTGGGGCAGGCGTTGCGGGGGAGGAATCCATGGCTTTTGAAAGGTGGGGGGGGGGCTGAATTGAAGGTTTGTGTTTTTTTTACAGAGACAGAATTTTTTTAATATTTATTTTTTAGTTTTCGGTGGACACAACATCTTTATTTTATTTGTATGTGGTGCTGAGGATGGAACCCAGCGCCCCGCACATGCCAGGCGAGCACACTACCGCTTGAGTCATATCCCCAGCCCCAAGAGCAAGGTTTTGAAAAGTGCATTCTCTATGGGGCTTCTTGTCCTCTCAGTTCTCTGCCTTCGAGGTCCTGGGCCTGGGGGCGCGGGGAGTAGAAAGCATCCTCCAGGCTGGCCACAGGGCAGCAGGCAGGTGCTGGGCGGTGAGTGCACCCCTGACCTGAACCCCCGGCTCTGTCCGGCCTGGCCTCGTGTGCCCAGTGACGAGCCACGTCGTGGCCACTGGAAAGATGCAGGTGCAGCCTCCCGATGGCTGGGGCTTCAGCTCCCACCCCCACCCCCACCCCCCGCCACCGGGCGGCCTCCTGGCTGGGCCTCCAGCGCACATTCCCAGATGTCCCTCTGCGAGGACGTGGGAGTCAGACTTCACAGTCTGCTGTTCTGTGTTTACTTGTGACAAGTAGACGGGTCACGTCTCCGTCTGGCTGGGGCAGGTCCCAGGCCTCGGCTCCTTCCCCGTGCCTTTCCTGTGTGGGTGCAGGGTTCTCTCACGAGAGGCATCTGGCGCACGAGCCCAGGCCGCGTGGCGGCACAGTGTGCTCCAGGGAGGGGGCTTCTCGGATTTCCCTTAGGATTCTGCCAAAGTTGGCTTTCCTCAAAACCTGGGTGAGAGCCTAGCTTCCGTGTGCCGGGGGCCCCGGAGGGGTCTGCAGCTGGAGGAGGAAGGGGGCAGGCGGGCAGCAGAGAACAGGAGGCCTCCGGCCCTACACAGATGCACACACTGAGCTGGAGACGGGCCTGGCCTCTCCCCTGGGGTCCAGGAGCCCCCAGCATTTGGCGTTCTCTCCCCACGCCTGGCCCGAGCCCCAGAGGGCCTCATGGGGCATCCTCCCGCCTGCTCACGGCCTCTTCCCAGTCGGCCTCCCTGCATGCAGAGCTGCGTCTTGGACGACCTGTTCTTCCCTGCAGCCCAGGACTCTGCTTCTGCTGCCCCCCCCCCTGCAAAGCCCGCGATGCTTGCAAAACGCTCTTGAAATAGTGAAGCGGGTGCTACTGCAGGGCCCCGTGCCGGACCCACCTCCCACCCCGCATAGCCCCTTCCTCACCGATCTGTGGAAGCAGAGAACATGCTCACTCCCACCTGTCTTCTCCCTGCTTTTGTCCCCTCCTGTGACATCTCCTGTCCTAAAGCCCCTGACGTACTCGGGGAGCACCCACAGCTCCTCCAAGTAGCTGGACCTGTGAGTCCTGCCCTTCCCCCTCCTGCTCTCCTCCCCAGCCTTCCCCAGCCTTAACCCTTCCTCCTTCCCTCTGTCCTTGGCCCTTGACCTGTCTGTCCTTACCTCAATGGCCACCGCCAACTCCTCTTCTCACCTGTAAGTACTAGCCGGCTGCCGCTTTATGCCAGGCACCCCCTGGGCCTCAGGGGCACACTGGTGGACAATCAAGTGATGTCCTTGTCCTTGGGGGCGTGTTTTTTGATAGGGTGGACATTAGTATATAAGGTGATAAACGAGGGACCTTCACACAGCAGTGCAGGCTTTGAGGGAGACCCAGCAGGTCAGGACTGGGGGGCGGCTGGCTGGGGGTCCCTGCAGAGCAGCTGGGAGATGGAGCAAGGGCGTCAGGGAGGGAGGGAGCCGCGGTGGCAGAGGCCACAGAGTTGGAGGCCACTCTGGTGGCCACTGAAAGATGGGGACAGTAGGGGGGCAGGAGAGCAGGCACCTGGTGCTCCCGGGCCCACAGGGGCTCAGTCCCCTCCCCGTCTGTGGGGCCTGTTCTTCAGTCTCATTCACTCGAGGTCAAGCTCGGCCCAAAATGTTCGATGGAAAATACATGGTCCATACGTTTTCTTAACGTAATGAGTGAGTTTGAAGTGACTGGTACCAGGGTGTGTGGTCACAGCGGCCGTGCTCGTCGCTGGCCGTCCTTGTGAGCCTCCCGCTGCGCCTGATGTGCAGTTGGGCTCGGCCACGGGTGCGAGGGTGCGGGGAGCCCTGGCACGCCGGGGACCTGTGCTCCCGTGTCCCCAGGCCAAGGGGGCTACTGCTCTGCGTTCGAGAGGAACCAGCCCTGGAAGGCGAGTCCCAGAGCAGGAGGGTGACGTCCTGTGCAGCTGAGGGCCGTGTGTCCTCCACACACCTGGAGCTGCCCAGTGGGCACTTCCCTACAGTGGAGGGGACAGCTGTGCATTTCCACGCCCCCTCCCAGGTGAGCGGGAGACGCTGGGGAAAGTGCCCCAGACGTGATTCCCCGGGTGCCGTGGGCGCCTCTGCTGAACTGGGCCTTCTGAGGTCACCAGGCCACCTCACCACCAACTCCGCCACAGGCCTTGGGGTCAGGGGTGCAGCCCAGCAGCCTCGAGACACAGCGTAGACTAGAGGACTGAGGGGGAGGCCTGCGGTCTCCGCTCAGGAGATCCTCGACCCCGATCTAGAAACCTCCTCTGGAGAGAGGATGTGGTCTGCTGCTCTCTGGGGCCGGGGGCCGGCGAGGACAGCACGTGCCGCGAGTGCGAGCGTGAGAGCTTTCGCTTGCGGAGAAGGCACCTAGGGCACCGCTGGTGGTGGACTCTGATCCTCGGGACCTCGTAGGAGTCCTTGGAAATCCATGCCCAGATGCGTGGATTGAGTGAACTTGAGTATTCTGCTCTGTATTTAAAGATCTAAACAACGGACACCCAGAAACCGGCAGTCTACTCCGCCTAGGTCACGGGTGGGCCACGCGACACTGTGCCTGCATCATGGCAGAATGTGGTTAGTGCCCCAGAAACCCACATGTCCTTCTGTCCCCTCCACGAGGCACCCACCCTCCTGCCTTCTAACCACAGAGGTTCATTTTGTTTTGCAAACAAAAGCCACACAGTGGG